AACAGCAACCTTCTCGACTTCACATCTCCTATACCAATACCCTCATCGCCTTGGCAGCTCCTGACTATTCAATCCATGTTCAACACAAGCAGGAGAGGGATCATTACGCAGCCTTGATAGAGGCCAGTACCGACGCCAAAACGACTTGACGCCGTTTACTCTGATGTAGCACCTGCTACCAGAATACAGTGATTGGATGACTAACAGCTGGCCATCTATCCCATATGCTCGCGGGATGACCACAGACTGTTGCGCAGGTTCCGGTTATAGGCTTGTTCTAGGTAAATGAAACACATGTGCACCGGACGGGCGTACTCCCGATTTCTGAACTATTTGTTGCAAGGGAAATATAATGTCAGAAATGTTTCGACCGGTCCGGAAGCCACTTTCTTCTTTCTTGGAATCAGTTATTCCGAGGCACCTCTTTGCTAACACCTTTAAGTAGACTTTACCTGGGAAGCTCAATAACGTAATGCCCCTAAAATTGGAGCACTCCCTGTGGTCTCTCTTCTTGAATAACTCTCGTTCTGCAGTTCGCTGGCGTCTTCCCATAGTCATTGCAGTTTGACAGATACGTGTAAGCCAGCTAATGCTTTGTTCTCCTAATAATTTGAGCATTGCAGGGCGGATGTCATCAATTCCAGCAGCTTTCCGCATTTCAAGCTTTTAGCAGCTTGTGTAATTTCCTCTACAGAAATATTAATATCCGTACTCTGTTGATCTACAGGTGACTCTTCCTGCGGTTGGTCGGAAATTAATTAAAATTTAAAGCATTAAATAGTTTTCATACATCGGGGTTATCAGTGCTTCGATGACCACTGATTCTTTCGGTGCCTCCAACGCTCCTTATCCTGTGCCACCGTTTGAATTTTGGCACAAAACTATGCGAACCTGCAGCAGTGTGTCGAGATATTTGCCCAAGGTCTTGGGTCATGGTCCTAGAGTTACTCGTGAGGTCGATTTGATTCGCCCTCCTTTTTGAAATCATTCGCAAAACATGTCCAAATCATCCAAGTCGTGAGTTCTCAATTTAAAAAAGCAGTGGCTATACATCAAGATTATTTCTAATGTCTCTCTTCGAGACCATATCGATAAGCGTGAGCCCAATAATCGTCTAAAAAGGTTCTTTTCAGCCGTGTGTATCGGGCTATGAAGTATTTCAGTCATGGCCGTAGGCAAGCATCGGAAGAAACACAGAGATCAGTCTTCAGAAACAGCTGCACCTGAACCACAAAAGTTCGGGATGCTTCATGAAGGGCGATAATGGCCATTCCGATTCGCCAACGTTCAAATATTTCTATTCAAAAAATTTGTAAACGGCATCAGGTCGGGCAACCAAATCAAAAGCCACGATAATTTTCCATCTGAAACTAAGAAACTACCTGTAGGCAAAAATAAGTTGGTGTAAATTATACTTGTTAGGAAAACGAAACACATACTGGTAAAAAATGATGAAAATGAACGAAGCTAATCCTGTTTTTTCATCACTATATGAATATTACGTCATGATTAGCAGCTCATACCGTTGAGATACAGGCTTGACGCAAAACTGCAGGTACGTGGCGGCCATACTGATCTTCCACTATCAAAATCTGACAATTGATAATCCTTTACAACTGTTAACAGGCCCTTTGCTGTTGTTGTTTCAAAACCAATTCGCTTGCACATATATTTTTAGTGCCAAGCATGGCGTGCTGTAATTGCAAACCTACACCACTCAGCCCTTAACAGTAGTCTGTGGCAAACTTACGTGAGCATGTCAGTGAAAACACCAATCGATGATTTGCGTGCGATACAAAATGCAATTTCGTTTTTTGAAGACGTATTTAAACAGAAAAGTTATTTTAGTTAATGTAGCTTGCAAAAGAATCTCAGAATGATTGCGAGCATGCACTGCCTTTGAAACAGTGCAGAAAATTTTTAAAACGACAAGCCTAAAACTAGGCAGATGCGTCGAATGCAAAAATACCTTAACCCTAGCTACTAAACGATGGATCATTCATTATAAATGAATTACAAAACAAAATCCTGTTGGAATTCTGTTGAATGAAGCCTTATATTTAGGAAAAACAAAATTATGCAGCGTATCCTGCTCGAACAACGTGTTCTCTAAAGACTAACCATCCAAATGCATTTGTCGCTTAAGCTGTTGTTGTATTTCGAAATCAGGATTTATTTGTCGCCAGAATGGTCGTATTGTCTAAAATTAAGTATTACACACATTAGAATTTTGTAAACGCTTAGTTACTTTCTCCGTTATCTGTCTCAAAAAGATGAAAAGCAAGTGATCCCATAATGATCCGAATGGTCTTTCTAATCAGAGTCCAACGATCTGCCAACACCAAGCAAAGGAAGTAGAACACTGCAGCAATTAAATGTGAATGGAGCAGTACATTAAATATTCAACATACATACACCATGCATGTAATGACAGTGACATATCCAATTCGCCATTTCAAGAAATCTGCTGACAGTTTATTTCCATAAAACGTAATGTAATAAATAGGGATCAACGCTTTACAAAGCTAAACAAAAAATCTAGCAGATTTCAATAAATAATAAAGAACACTGATTAAAGCATAAAACGAAAGCTGATACATAGAAATACGGAACATAAAACAAAAATTCATTTAGTACTCTTCCCCCTCAACTTCGTTGTCCGCGCTGTCGATTCCAACCTAAAAATATCACTATGCTAATCACACTACAAAACTACACCATATTTACATTTTTTTATTGCATTTAAAACTGCAATTATGTCATTTTAGCTGAATAGTCTTGAAGTCAGAGCCGTGCAATTACAGTAAAAATACTTAAACTATTCGTCACAAAAACTTTTTATGAATATACTCTTCAAGCAGTATGAATCCCTTGGAATAAAATCATTTCAAATTTTTAGATTGGTGTATTTCATTTTGTTCTACTTCCGTCTATGCAATTAAATTTCTGCCGTTTAACAGTGCTCTGAATAACTGCTGAATTTTGTAAGGTGTAAAATAAGTTAGTAAGTTAGAAAATAAATTAGTAAATAAGTTAGAAAGTAAGAACTTAAGAATTTTCCTAAACACTAAGAAGGAAGCACAGTTTGCGACAGAAATGCTCACCTCTTCATAATCTCTTTCCAGAGCAGCAAGATCTTCTCTAGCTTCGGAAAACTCTCCTTCTTCCATGCCTTCACCAACATACCAATGGACGAACGCCCTCTTGCTATACATCAGATCAAATTTATGGTCTAAGCGAGACCACGCTTCAGCAATCGCCGTTGTGTTTGACAACATACAAACAGCGCGAGGTACTTTCGCTAGGTCTCCATTGGGCACCACTGTTGGTGGTTGATAATTGATACCAACCTAGTTCATAAGTCAAAAATACTGTAACACTAAACCAAGACTGCGCATATACCTTAAATCCAGTTGGGCACCAATCCACAAACTGAATTGTACGCTTGGTTTTGATGCTGGCGATTGCAGCATTAACATCTTTCGGCACGACATCGCCACGATACAACAAGCACACTGCCATGTACTTGCCGTGGCGCGGATCGCACTTTACCATCTGATTCGCCGGTTCGAAGCACTGGTTTGTTATATCCGCGACGGACAGCTGTTCGTGATACGCCTTTTCAGCGGAAATAACCGGTGCGTAGGTGACAAGCGGAAAATGGATTCGAGGGTAAGGTACCAAGTTGGTTTGGAATTCTGTGAGATCAACGTTAAGAGCGCCGTCGAAACGCAGAGAAGCAGTGATAGACGATACGATCTGTCCAATAAGACGATTCAAATTCGTGTAGGTTGGTCTATCAATGTCGAGATTTCTTCTAAAGTATGGAAAATCGTGACCGTCTGACTTCTTATAAATTGAATGGTATTCAGTGAACACAGCACCTAAGATTTCATAAGCACTAATAAAAGAAAACTGCGTCGAACTCAAACCAACTGCATTTCCCTTCGAAATAACTTTCATTATATCTGCATTGCCAGCAACAAAACTTGCAATCTACATGGAACATCTTTCTATATAAAGAGCAATGTAAACGAAAATGCACTAGGTTAAAAGTTCGATAGAATATAAAAGAAGCTGTTGTTTAAAAGTATTCATAGATTTAGAATTTCAGTGGCCTGAAAATTATGAGAAATGCGAAACATTCTGAAACTGAATATTAATCACGAGTTAAGTTTGCCGATTTTAAGACATATTTAGCTTTGCGATGACTGCACAATGTTACTGAGCTACAAATGACAATAAACAAACGAGCAGGAACTGGCATGTTTCATTGTTCATAATTTTGCAGTATCTCAACAGGTATGTTTAATTATTATAACTGTGAACTTGTTCAATGTTAATTTCTAGCATAAATCAATTTCAGAGGACAACGAATTACGATGTCCATATTAAAGTAAAATACGAAATGTCATTCGCATGGCAAAAAGATTTACTCTACAAACGCTTACAGTGCGCCACAAAATAGCACGTGTTTTTTCTAAAAAGCAAGTTTTCAGATATATACACTAGTTTAAATTAAAGTTTATACTTTAACACATATATTACATTTAGTAAATACTTCTTCATTATTTAACTATTATAGTATCGAATAAGGGTGCACAATCGTTGATTCGAGAGCAAGATTTACAACGATGTCAAGCATAGTGTGCTGTCTCCAATCCGCAGGGATGAAGAGCTTGGCACCACAGTTGTGACTTTAATTAGGGAAATATATAAAGGTATTAAGGTTCAGTTGAAGTTGTGTGGATCAAGCAGATTAGAGTGGAAAGTCATATTATTAGTACAGTGGTGAAGAAGTTCAGTTGCAAGTATTACAGTATAGCAGCAAAACCCACTGAATAATCACGTCCATTTCTTACGCTACGTTGTGATAGCCTCTTGAGTTTTCCTCTTTTTATGCTGGCTTTCTTTCCACAAAATGTTTCTCTTATTCTGCGTAGGAGGTATACATTAAGTATACTGCGTCTTGTTACAGAAGTCTCGTCTCCTATGCTGATGAACATGCTATATTCTCTTGTACGTCTTGCTAAGTTCCCAATTTAGATATCCCCCCCAGGTGCAGTTTAGCGTACTATAACTCAGAGCAACATGCTATAAAGAACAACGCCATTTCGTGCAATGCACGCAAAGTTCAGAAAAAAAACTAACTCAGAAAAGATTACAGCAAAACGAGCATGCAGGATGAAACTGAACGGAACAGCTAAGCATGGCCAACAATGCTAGACATAGTAATCGCAAACGATTCTTTTTGCCACGAACTCTTTGAATCACTTTTTGTACTTCGCAATTAACTTTATTTGTCCACACTTTCAATCTTAATGTCGCTTTAGAACCCAGTCGACCTTTTCCAAACCTAATCTACGATTCCAGTATCAGTAATACTAATTAGTTAGATTCCATTATCAGTCAGGATATTCGAACCAAATCTAACATTCATAAAGTAGTTCGAGACCTACGGAAGGAAAGTCGCTGCGGATCTGACTCGAAATCAGCCAGTGGTAAACTCACTTATGCATTACATTCTAAACAATAAAAGAAAGCTTAAATAAACGTAATAAACCATTAAATTTCGTTTTAAACCAGTGCCTAGATTATCCTGACACTTTGTGTCAAAGAAATATCTATTATATATTTTTGTTCGAGGTCAAAATAAAGGCTGAAAGCGCAAAATGCAGTTTATAGTTGATGACGTCTTTTTTGAAAGCCTTACAACAAAAGCCGCTGCAGACTACATAAACACCAGTCGATTACTACCAGCTTTTTAAGCCTTGAAGAAGGCCCGAGTGGTATGGGTGTACACACTGTTTGTGACCTATCACTTAACAGGCTGCCTGTTTTGCGTTTGTATAATAAAACCGTTTGAATACCCTTTTAGTGGCTGAAATAAAAAAAAACTTCTGCTCAAAAGAATCATACCGGCATATGTCGTATATTGCTTCATTATCTACCATAAACGCGCAGTCTGAGTGTTCCAGGGTCGTATGTGTGGTTAAGATCGAGTTATAAGGTTCCACAACAGCAGTAGACACCTAAAGAAGATAGACAAAGAAATGTTACAGAAAGAAAAGACAAAAATTCCAATACCTGCGGGGCAGGATAAATTGCAAATTCTAGCTTGCTTTTCTTGCCATAATCAACCGATAGCCTCTCCATCAGCAAAGAGGTAAATCCGCTACCTGTTCCACCACCAAAAGAATGAAAGATAAGGAAACCTTGCAAACCGGTGCAGTTATCAGCCAGTTTTCTTATTCTATCCATCACGACATCAATTATTTCCTTTCCGATTGTGTAGTGACCACGAGCATAGTTGTTCGCGGCGTCTTCCTTTCCAGTGATCAGCTGCTCCGGGTGAAACAGCTGACGGTATGAACCAGTTCTCACTTCATCTAAATTATTAGTTTAGTAGTTCATTATCAATTACTGATTTAGCCACGCGATTTACATTCATTATTCATGCATCGACTAAATTCAAAAGATCAATTTTTGTTAGATATACTACTGGAAACTCAAACCAATGCGTGTAAAGAATTCAGTGAACTAACGTTCAAAAGCCTTTAAAGCAATTAAATTTCGTTCCATTCAAATCATGAGATTGCGACGGATCCAAAAAATAGAAACGATACTCCAAACTCTGTACCAAGCAGGGTTGTAACAGTCCGCGCATAAAAAAGTGATATTTTTATGAGGAAAAAAGAGTGATATTTTTGAGGAAAAACAATGTTAATGTGTAATATAGGAGAGAACCAATGTTTTAAGGACTCTGAGTTGGTACACCACCGTTTCAAGCAGAAGACTGAGTTTCCGTGTTTATATTGGTATCTCAGACTCAAAATCTATGGGCTGCAAAATACGACTAGCTCTTTCAGCCTCACGTCTTAATTGGGGTCTATTTAAATTTTAATTAATATAAGTACACTTTATAAATTTTCGGCACTTTAAACCAACGAACGAGAAATGCAGAGGCTATGGATTCGTAGGATACAATGTACCTGCTGCAGATGGCTACAACCAACGAGCAAACAATTACCGGTGTATTACATAACTCCCGTTGCTCGACGAAATGCTGATACCGATTATCAATATGCAGGACTAACTCTCTAAAATGAGCAAAGTTTGTACAGAACAGCAGAAAGGCTTATACCAAACGGTAAAAGCATTAAATGCTGAAACAACTTCTTGAACTCACACAAACGCTATGCCATGGATAACTGGAAACCAATGTATTCTAATTTCTCGGCTAGAAACGTGAAAGACAAAAAACAGTACATCTGACAGAAATCCGACAT